CTGAAGTATCTCAGGGACCCTAAGGTTCCACAGGCCACATTTTGAGAACCACCAGTGTATTCTTCTGCCCCTAATTTTAAATGCCTTCAGTACCTCTACTTGCCCACACGTCTCTTTCACACTCTCACCTCCTTTTGTTTACTAAACGTTCTCCTCCCATCCCCTAACCCTTGATTTTTTCCCCCAAGTTTTCTTACCCATTCTTGCACATTTTCTCTCTGTGATGAATTTTAGAGTCAGTTTGTCTAATTTCTCTTTTAAAATTCCAGTTGGAATTTTGATGGGAATTACAGTGACTTCATAGATTAATTGGGGAGAACATGCACCTTTATTTCTCAGTATTAAAGAGTGTAGGACAGAAGGATTTCAGAGAATGAGAGATGATGTTCACGTGATCCAGACTGAAGGGTCTCCATGACTTCCCATGTGTCTGTCACATGAATCACTTAGATGTGAAGACCCCACCCCAAACACAGAGATGGCACTCGGGTGAGGGGGACACAAGCTGTATTTTCCCATCTCTAAGAATTTCCCCATCCGATGGATGAGGAAAACATGCTGACAAATTCCTGAACCCAAATATTTACAAGCATTAAATGCTGACATAGACGCTAAATCTGGAGAAGAAAGGGAAATCTTGCTGATATCCACTCTTCCATCAAAACTCTTCCTGTAAGGGAGCATTGCCGAATTTACTGTAATGTTTAGGGGAGAAAAAAGATCACCAAGAACATTGGTTTCTTACATTTTAAACATCAGAACCCACGGCAGAGACCTGAAGCAGATTAAAATGCAGGAGGGCTCTGGCTCCATAGAGAAGTGCCCCCCAGAGCCTCGTAAGCTCAGTGCTCAAGAAGAGGCAGCTCCTGGACTTGGCTTCTCCCACCATTCTGGAATCCAGGGGGTTTGGGTCAGTGAAGAAATGCACATGAAACACAGAGTTCTTAAAATAAACTATTATCTGGATTTGGCAAAAAAATACCATCACCAGCCTGATTGCTGGAAAATGGAAAGATGGCTGGTGACATACTAAGAGAGACAAAGACCATGAGAATAATGAGCATGGTGGTCTCAGCCTTGTTGCTGTATGCTCCGAGCCCCCAGATGACAGCCTGTCTTATGGCACTGCCATCACATGGGGCCTTGGGAAGGGTTCTTTATGTCCTAGAAGTTCTGGAGACCAAGTTCTAGTTTAGTTCTACCATGAACTACTGTGTGAGTTTTTATAAGAGGCTTGACTTCTCTGGGACTCAGCTTCCTACCTGTAAAAAATTAAGGGATTAAAATAAATCAGGACATCTTAACAGGTCCTTGTGTATCTATGGAGAGGTGTCAGGGGAGTTTCTAAAACTCCTGAAATTATAAGGAAACAATTATGTGTGCATTTTTTTCTGAGAAAAGAGGGGGGATCCAGAAAGGTTAAAAAATCTTTAGTTCCATGATCTCTCACCTTTTGTGATTTTCCAAATACTGAGATGCCCCCACCATGCTGTCCAACCCAACACTCTTCCCACATGTATGCAAGGGACTCTCACCTTGCTTACCTTCCCACAGGCAAACAGACCCTTACTTCCTTAGGGCAGGGAGTGAATCCTTCCCCACCGCTTCTGTCCTAAATGCAGGGCTGGCTCCACAAAAAGGCACAGAGCGGGCACCCCTAGGATGGCGCAGAAACTCAATGGAGACATGTCTGCCCATCATCATTTTTCAGGGTTTTGCATCCCACAGCTATCTAGTGAGTACTTCGATATGCAACATCATGGGCTAGGAGCTACAGGGAATTTAATGACACCCCCCCTGGCCTCAGCAGTAGCTCACTGTCTTACTGGGGGTTGGAGGGAGACAGAAGCTGGCCATGGTAACTGCTATAATTTGGAACCATCTCAGCAGCAATAAACATCCAACGGCTTATTAAATTGGCTCTTAGTGGAATTGGCATGTTTTTCCCTCATTTCCCCTTTTAAAAATCTCAGTAAATGGGTTTTGATACATTCAAGAGAAATTTATATTGATCTTATAATGGCGTAGATATTGTCAACATCTGTCTTTTGAGTCAGTGAGAAGATGTGTTGTTTAAATATTTGTCCCCCAGCCTAAGAGTGAAGTTGAAGGGTTGTGGTCTACTCAAGCTGCCATAGGGTCACTAATCTGTGACAAGGAGGGTCCCCACCTCCCCCAGCAAGGGGTTATAGTCAGCCTAGAGCCACTGGGCCCTCCGCGGGAATAGGAAAGGATCCAGCCCACGGCTTTTCTGCTGCACTGACACAACCACACTTCCAGGGGTTCATCCCCAGCTTTGCGATTTCTCAAGCAAAGTACTGAACTGCTCTCTGCCTCAGTTTCCCTATTGGGTAATTGGGAGTCACACTTCTCCCTGGGTCACTGAGGATCAAATGAGTTAATCCATGGAAAGCCTTTGGAGTACCACCTGACATGTAGCCAGACACACACCAGCCACAAGTGTTTATGATGATGGTGACGACTCCTTAAGACACACAGTGGGGGGGAGGGATCTGCTATCAGTGGCAAGCGCAGGTGGGCTGCATCCTGCATCCTGCCTTGAATTCATGTCATTTTGACACAGCTGTGAGCTAACCATGCAACTGCATTCTGCTATTTATAAATCGCCTCTAACGCTCACAAGATAATATAGAAAACTGCAAGTTTATTTTTGGAGCTATAAGCCTTTAAAGTTATGTGTCCACTGGTAACAATGCCTCCTTTGAGGCGTGATCGTTTTAAGTGGGATTGCAAATGGAACAGCAGCCAGAACACGAGCGGTAGCCACCCTAAATGCTGTGATCCTCCTCCGCTTTGACACGCCAGTTTTTATACGGTTCACGCATATGCACGCATACATATACACGCATATGTATATTTTGACATCATCATCGTTCTACCTGGATCATAAACTTTTAGAGACACCTAAAGTACTTCTGAGACAGAAGTTCGGCTCTGCCTGTATTATTCGGCAAGTAAACCTTTTGCTTTCATACTTTATTCCCTTTTCTACCCTGATCCTTTCTCTTCTGTCATGTGTCCCCTCCTCTCTGATCTTTCTAGCTCTTGTCTTTTCCCTGCACTCCACTTCACCTCTGCTTTCAAACCCTGTGTGACTTGCCTCCCTAGTCTGTCCTGAAACGGGGGCTGGGATGGTCAGAAGAGGGGCATCTGCGAGCCCGCACCTTGAGAAGCCAGTTGAGACCATCTTTGCTACAAGGGCCACCATCCATGTGTCCCCATGTGTCCCCAAAACCTCCCTTCATCACCACTTGCCTACCCAAACAACCCTGGGAGAAATGAAAGGGGTGCGCAGGCTGGTGGCAGCCCTGGGGTGGGGTCTGCTTCTCTCTCTCTCTCGCCCCCACAGATCCTCCCTACATATCCATACTTACCTGCTTTTCCAAAATACCAACTTACTTTCCTCTTCTCAAGTGATGTAACTACCCCTCCCTTTTGTTTACCTCCTGCCTGCCTCCCTGAGGAACAGACGGGGCCCACCAGGAGCACGGCGGTTGGCATCTGTAAGACTCTGGGTGCTCTGGGCTGTTTTCGTCTTAGCTAGCTGGCAGCAGTACATTCTTCTCCTCTTCAGATACCCATTTAATTTCAGGGTGGTACTTTCCTGAGTGCTTGCGGTTTCTAAAAGTTTAAACCATAGGAGAGTAAAGCATTTTTCTGCCTCTCCAAGAGCAGAGCCAGCGGTTTATCCTGATGTGGAAAGTCAGGGCAGGAGCCTGTTCATTTCTCTTATTTTTATATGCCACCCCAGACGATGGTATTTATTAATAATGACATGGCCGATTATGACACTGTACTGAATATGATATTCATTTCTCTGGCCTAAAGATGAATTATGCCGAATCCTAAAAAAAAAAATCAATGGCCATGTATTACAGCATGATCTATGGCTTCAATCCGCGGGAGCATCGAGAACGCATGGGTATTTGCTTCTCCGGCCTGTAACTTAACGATGGGGGATGCATGGTGTATAGTCAAACTCCCAGATGTATGATGGATATTTTTTTTCCCTGAGAAACATCTATATCTTGTAAATAGAATTTTATAAACATTTGTGGGACAGAAAAATTCTCTAGTCCTTTCAAATTGCCAAAGTCTGGGTTGATTTATCTCCTCTGTTGAAGAATACCACACTCTCTCTCCTCCGGTGATAGAGCATCTTGTGGAACTCTGAACTCCTCATCGCTCAGTGTCTGGTCGGTCAACATCCACATGTCCTAGTTGCCCACCAAATAGCTGAAAATAGCCTTATGTGTCGGGTGGGCTAAGGGGTCCTCGTAAGTAAAGATACACCTCACCCTGATGCCACTCTGAGAAATGCCCCCGCTGACTCCGAAGCCCAACCGTAGGTGTGGGTGGGCAGCCAGCAACTGGTGAAGGGACCATCCAGGGAGAGAGAAAGCCATGAAGATAAGGCCTGCCCAGGTTTAGAGTTGCCGGTGGCCGGGACCGCACATCACTGTCAACTGTGACAGTTCACCCACACCCTCAGCATCAAGCTGGAGGAGAGACCTGTTGACACAACAGTTCTCGGTATTCAGAAGATGAGATTAAAGCCTGGGATTGCGGTGGTGTTCAGTGTCGAGCCTTTCCTTGGCGGCCTGGGCCGCTGCCGGCTCCCGCCAGCCTTCCCCCGGCTTTGCTGGCTGCACAGTGTTGCTGGGAAAGGCAAAGGGCCGGTGGGGTGACGCTCAGGGGGAATGGCCAGCCGTGAGAAAGTAAGCAGGTAACGTTCAGGGAGCCCAGTGATCGCTCCCTGAGCACCAGTGAGGTGGAGCTGGAAGAGAGAGGGCCGCGGTGCTGGCCCTGAAGGATGCTCCTCTGGCTTAGGGACAACCCTGACGTGAAACCAGACAGACTGACAGGCCTGAGGGAGTATCTGTGGGTGTTTCCCGTCGAAACCTCATGTCATCCCGGCTCCTCAGGCACCCCCAGAGCTTTCCCTGCCTTCCCCATTCTGCTCCTTGACTCCAGGCCACTGTGCTGGAGGCTGTGGTGTGCTTCTTCTCCGTCTGGTCTATAGTCGGCCTGTCGGGCTTCCACACGTACCTGATCAGCTCCAACCAGACCACCAACGAAGATGTAAGTTCCTGGTGGGCCGGGGTCGGGGTGGGGGTGGGGGTGTCTGTGTCCAGAGGCAAAGGGGGAGAGGAGAGGAGGGCTTGGGGGCCAGGGCCTTCTGCACATCCCATTCCAGAGCGAGCCTCCAAGAACCAAGATTGTGAGGTAGAAGCATCTTCCTACGTTGGCCTCCATGATTCCCAGTTGGGAATCTCTGAATTGTCCTACTTTCTGACCACGTCCCTTAGATCCTGAGGCCTGCAAAGTGACCCAATTCCAAACACCAGTGGAGAAGATTATCTTCTCTTCCAGATTATCTTCTCTTCCTTTCCAGTAATTTTGTGAGTCGCATGTCACACATCCCCTGAAGAGGGACAGTGGTTGACATGCAGGGGGTGAACAAATGAATCCACCTCTCATGTTTAACACTTCCATCTCATTTTTGGAAGAGGCCGCCCCGACCCAGAGTTTAATGTTTTGTCCAGGATTATCTGCCTAGACTTAATGTGGCCGGAGAGGAAGGATAAGAACAGGAAACATCATGTTGGAAATGTTGCTCATTGGCCTGGTCCTCTTTGTTCTGAATATTTAGATTCTGACAGAAGTTTCTGTCAGTACAGCGATTAAATGCCTCAGATTCAGTCAGATTGCCTTAAAGGCTTGATGATACGTGAATTAAGAGATTAATGGAGTTATCTGTATTTCGTAACTGTGGATATTTGAACCTGTGAAATTATTTCAGTGACATTGTGAGGCCGGATTCAGGCAGGCTGGAAGTTGGCAGTTGGGGGAGCCCAGTTAACTCTCAGCCACCATCCGTTTCATGGCTGTTGAGCACGCCAACTGTGAATCTGAGAAAAAGCTCCATGGGCTTCTGTGAGCTGAGCTGCTGGTATACCACGTAGTAGACACAAGAGATCATTGTCCCCAAAGAATGTTACTTTCCCCCTCATTTGACCTGCTGTTTGGGGATGTTTTCAATTTTGGGGTCAATGTCAGTTTTCCTTGTGAAAATGCCTCAGTTTCTCTTATCAAAGAAACAAGTAAAGATGATTTGCATTCTTTATGAGCTTCTCACAATCCAGTTCACCTAATCTGTGGCATTGGTGTTATTGACTCTCCTTTTCTTTCAGATCAAAGGATCTTGGTCAAATAAAAGAGGCAAAGAGAATTACAATCCCTACAGCTACGGGAATATCTTTACAAATTGCTGTGTTGCCCTGTGTGGGCCCATCTCTCCAAGGTGAGATTTGGAGAGCGTCACGCTCTTTAGTGGACCTGGGGAAAGCCAACAAATTAGCTGTGGCAGCACAGGCCTTACAAGGTAGAGACCCAGCCACAAAACCCACTGTTAGATTTGATCACACCCTCTGGATGACCGCCGGGCCAGTGGTCAGCTTCATGCACAGCGTCGTGGCCCTAGTAAAATAGAAATCTGGCTCAGTTTATCGTGCTGTTCCTGCCATCTTTTCTATTCTTTCACTGAATTTATGTCAAGGATAGGGAAAATCTCCTAAGGATTGAAATAGGGAAACTGAGGATCATGCCTCACATTAATTATTGAGTCATCTTGAACATCTGTGATGAACACAGAGCTGTGCTTAGCTTAGTAGGGGAGCCAGGATGCAATGTAGGAAGCAATCAGAAAACCTGGAGAAATGGGTGCTAAGAGCTGAGTTATATAGAATATACATGCTAAAATAGTTGAGCAGGAGAGATCGGCATGAGCTGAAGCTTCCAGATTGTGGTGACAGTAATAGGACAGCACTATGATGGCAGTAGCTGACACTCATGAACAGTGTTAGATCTGTTTTAAGTGCTTTATATGAATCAGCTTTTAAAGATTTTATTTATTTAGAGAGAGAGAGTGCATGCAAGCAGGGGGAAAGGAAGAGGGAGAAAGAATCTCAAGCAGACTCCACACTGAGCATGGAGCCTAACTTGGGGCTCACTCTCATAACCCTGAGATCATGACCGGAGCCAAAATCAAGAGTTGGATGCTTAACTGACTGAGCCACCCAGATACCCCTATATGTATCTGTTTTTAAAATCTGGCTCTGTAAGAGGTAGGTACTATTATACCCCATTTTGTGGGTGAGGAAAGTGGCACAGAGAGGTTACTAAACGTGCCCATGTTCACGGAGCTAGTAAATGCCACCTGGTCAGGACTCAAACCCAGGCCTCTGGCATCAGAACCAGCATGTGTGGAACACTGCATGCTGCCCCCCAGGCAGGATTACACAAGTACAAAATGCAATCCACAACTGATTATTTGTGAGTCGACACTCCTGTAGAGCCTTTCCAACAGATTAATCAGTCATCCAGCATATTTATTAAGCAGGTATTCTGAGTCTCTAGAATGAGTTTCCAAACCATTGCTACTTCCTCCCTATGGCCTCTAAATGCATAAATGGAGAGACTCCACAAACCCGCTGCGAGCATCTCCAAGGCAGCATCACTGCACTTGTACCTCCGTGGCCGTCATTGCCCATGCGTGCTCACGGAATGCAAATTTGATTTTATTATAAGCCTCAGTGAAATATCATTAAGGAAGTAAGAGTGTTGCCCTCCCCCCAGAAACAAAATCCAAGCATATATTCCGAGGCTACATATTAATTTATACTAAGGGTATGTTACTGGTACTATGAGTAATTAGAAATTGATTGTTTTCTAGGTTAGGCCCAGGAAATCGGGAGCCTAGCGTGCTACTCTCCTCCTGAATGAGGGCCATCAGGAGCCCCTGTCGCACAGAGGCCTCCTCTGAGGAGGGGCTGTAGGAAGGGACAGCCCAGGACTTGAGGGGGAGGACCGCCTTGGACAGGGGAGTTAGACATGCCTGGAGGGGTGCCAGCCTGTCCCCCAGAGAGCTCCAGACCCACCCAGGGATCCCTCTGAGAGCTCTTTAAGCCAGAAAATCCATCAGGAAATGCTTAGGGTTTTTTTGTTTTGTTTTGTTTTGTTTTGTTTTTTTTACAGTTTGGCTTTGTTTCCTACCAGCATGCATTTATTTGTGGACTATGGGCTCAGGCAATGAAGCCCAGGCTAGAGGCCTTGGAGGAGCATAAGAGGCAAATGACAACTGAACAAGCCTCCTTCCTCAAATCTAAAATACACATCCAAATCCAGGAAAGGAATTTAGAAGTCTCATATTTTGAACAAATCTCTTTTCTTGTTCCCCACTCTTTGATTTGCATTTGGCGCTGCTTTGTATTGTTTGTATATCAAATCTTGTGACAACCAAACTTAAACCTTCCATGACTGGGTAAAATGTCTTACTGTGGCTCAGTTAACTTGGGTTGTATTCTTTCTAAAACCCAAGTCCCTCTGGATGGGGCATTTCTCGAGGATGGCCCTCCCTCAGAACTGCGTGAACCACTCTTGGGTCTGTGAAGTGAACATGGGCCACTGGCCTCTCCTGTGGTGCCCACAGGCTCCTGGAGCTGGACCTGGGCAGAAATGATATAGGGTAGTTCTTGTCTCTGCTCCTCCCTCCTGTTGCCCTCTTTGCCCCTTCTTGTACTGCCCTACCTCACCAACCCTTGTGCCCCTAAGAGGGCAGAGCCTTCCACGAGTGTCCCAGCCAAGCCTGTCTAAGAACCACCAACATGCCCAGAATCATGCACCTGAGTTGCCTCTAAAATGTTCTGAAATGTTATGACAATGTGCTCACCAGAGTGTCTTCATAAACTATGAACCACATTTGGTTTCCTGAATGGGTCCCTGGGGGTGTGCATGGCAGTGGGGTAGGACTGGCCAGGTTTGGGAGAGGGGTCCTCATACAAGCCTGGCAGAAGGAATGAAAAATTGGAAAGACAGATAGTCCCAAGGTGTCAGGGTCAGGCCCTGTGGGCCAGTGCTAGAATGGCAAATCTAACAGTCAAGGAGCAGCTGTGACAGAGAGTGGAGTGCAGTTTCCATGGGACACCCAGGAGGCCTTCCCAGAGGAGAGGGCCTAAGTTGTCATCTTTTGTAACAGATGAGTAGGAACTGGGGGAAGGAAACTAGAAGGAGGACAGACAGGAGCAGCATGTGCAAAGGCCCTGAGGTGAGAGGAGAGTGTATGGCCTGTCAGAGGAGCTCGTGTGTAGGAGTGAGAGGACCACAGAGGGTGCAGCAACAGGTGAGGCAAGAGGAGCACGTCCAGATCAGAGGAGCTCCCAGGCCATTGTGAGGACTGAAAGAAAACTCAGGGCAGAATGTGACAGTCTTAGGTATGTGGCTGGTCCATTAAACAGGCTGAATGCACAAAATGAAGGCTGAGAAGTTTATTTTGTCCTCTCTTCTTCTGTCTTTTCAGACTCTCTTGAGAACCTAGTTGGGTACTTTTTTTGTTTGTTTGGGGTTTTTTTGTTGTTGTTTTGTTTTGTTTTATTTTGGTTTGGTTTGGTTTGTTTGGTTTTTTGCTCCTGAATGAAATCTCCTGCAAGTCTCTTAATTTCTCTGGCCACCTAAAACAAAAACAAAACAAAACAAAGGACTTCAGACACTTTCGTGTCCTCAAGCACTGTGTCATTTCCATGGGTAGGGATCCCGGAGCTCACCAAAGAGCAACACTCTCCACCCCTTCCCCCGTGGCCAGGTTAGGACTTCAGCACATCTTCTGGAAAGACACAGTGCCACCCCCATTGTATGCTGGCTCTGGTCCAGGACGCCTGCGAGGCCCCCACAGTGGGCTGCAGATGACCACTTAAGGTCCACGGCACCTCTCTTTGCTCTTTCCACTTGGATCTTCCATGCCCTCGCAGGGGGTCACAAACTTGGTGTGAGCTGTGTGGGACTCCGCCACCCCTCCTTTGGAAGATGGAGGTTCTTGTTGCCTATTGGTTTTCCTAAAACTCTGAGAATCCAACCGAAACTGGAAGCAGAGAGAGTCCCATTTCAAGATCTTGTCACAAGTATATTTTAACGTCGTCCAAAGACCTACAGGTGGCAGTTGGGAAAACTCTTGTCTCCTTGTCTCCTGGGAGCCATACTGACAGTTGGAGGGTGGCCTCAGGGGACCAGGACGTGTGCAGGCACAGGGGGGCCTCTGAGGCATCTCGCGGAGGCTGCAGGGCATGTGGCCGAGCCCCACGCATGGGCTCACACCAGGAGCGCCCTCTCATTAGCTGAGGTCTTTGCAGTTCTGCCCTTAGACTCAAGGTCAACACTGAGCCTTGACTCAAGGAGGAAAAAAAGGCAGCTCTTTTGATGGCAACGTAAAGCTTCCCCCTACCTTCTATCTGGGCAACAGCGCCATGAAGCACAGAAGAGATGGCTTTATTATTCACGAATGATGCCATGATTCTGCAAATTTGCCTGTGGGAAGCAGGGACCCGCTTCTGTTGATCCAGCCACCAACCTTCTTCTCACTCGGCTCCTAGTGGGTGTCACTTGTGGAGATCGATGATTGAGAAGACCTGGTCCTTGCCCTCGTGGGGCTTACGCTCCACGGCAGATGCAAGTCTGGAAGTGGGTGATGCTGACATGATGTGATCAACAGGGTGCTCCAGGGGCACTGCAGAGGGCCCCGGTCCAGGGTGGGGACGCAGGTGCTTTGCGGGGAGAAAAGATAAGACTATCCTCTGGAGTTGGCAGACTGCTGGACAGAGGGGACTGTCTATAAAATCACGGCGACACCAGGCCGAAAGTGGTATGTGCCACTAAAGGAGTCGCAAGCAGGGCCCAAAGAATCCAGAGAAAGGGCAAGAAAGAGCAAGGGCTGGGGGCATTGGAACCTGGCCATGGAGAACGGACAGAGGAGTGGAAGGGAGGCTGACCTGGGGCAAGAAAAACCAGAACTTGAGCAAAAAGCCAGGATGACAGACACCGAGTGCGTGTGGGGCTGGGCCTGGGCTGGGCTTCTGTGCCGTGCATTGCGCACGTGCAGGAGGGTGTCACACGCTTGCAGAGGGGATGAGCCTGGGAACACTGTGCTTGTAACAAGAAGGCGTGGACTGAGGCTGGAGCGGAAAGTGGGGACAAGTGGGGTGACGCCCAGAGCGGGTGACAGGGCGCCCCCAGAGCAGTGCGAGCAGGCCGGGAGACTTGACAAAGCCTGGATGGAGCACCGATGGCCGTGCTGGCCCTGGGTGCAGGGGCTGGGGGGAGGGTGGGAGACGATGGGAGTCTGCAGCAGGTGCAGGCGGGGGTGGGGGACAGATGCTGCAAGCATTTCTTAAAGGCAGAGGTGATGGAATTTGGTAGGTGACTGTCGTGAAGGTAAGTTGGGGTCTATCCCGAGACACCAGCAGTGGGGCCCCACACAGGAAGAGGGAGCCCCAAATGGAAATTACAATCATGCTGATGGCGTCTTTGGCTCTTTATTCACTCTCTTCCTCCATATCATTTTGTTTTCTCTGGCAGCCTCATCGACAGAAGAGGCTACATCCAGCCTGACACACCGCAGCCGGCCACACCGTCCAATGGAATTGCTGCGTACGGGGCCACACAGTCACAGAGCGACATGGTAGGGGCCACCTGCAGTGGGGACCAGAGCTCCCTGCAAGGCTTCTCTTCTGCTTCTGTGTCACTAACCCAGTAACAAACCAAGCACACCTAGAAGCCTTCCCGGGAGACCCATCAGCTGAAAGGCTCGCGCCAGGGATAAGAAGCATTAAATGAAGGCGATACCCAACAAAGGATTATGGCCTTTGCGTGGTTGGTTTGTTCTGGGCTGTGTAAGGGAAAGTACCTTGTGATGGAAAGCCCCCTTGTGTAGAACCAGGGTGTCTGGGGTGAGATACAACCGCTCGAAGCAGGGGTGGCTGGCTGGCTGGCTGGAGAGTCCCTCTCTGTCCTTTGCCTCAACCTGTGCTAACCTCCCCCACCTCCACTTTAAGTGCGCAGCAGGTGGCCAGTTCTCCCCGCTTTCAGCCCAAACCTTAGATCAGCCATGCAAACCTTAATGCACATAATCAGACAAAGTGTTCTTTATTCAGAGCCAAAACTGAGCAAGTCTCTCCAAAGAGGGCTCACAGGTGTCCTGGGACGTGTGCAACATGAATATGCTATATTTTCGGTCTGCAGGTGGGAGATTTGGGACAAGGACTGGAATCCCTCCATGGGTCCTTGAAAGCACAGTCAGGACTGGCTGTGACCATCATTGCCTTAAAATTCCTTAGGTGTCTGGAAGACAGCTTCACTTTATCTGGAACAGATTTCCGAAAGAAGTTCCTTGTTTCAGAAAGGGACCCAGTCTTTGGCCCTCCCCAGGAGCTGTTTGTTCTTTGTAGACCAGAATCACCCACAACAGAGTTTCCATAACATAGACTGGGGAAGTGACAGCCTCCTGGACACTTTGTGTCCGTTTATAAAGAACTGCAAGGTGCAAGTCAACAGTCTTAAGACTATCTCATTAAGCTCTCAGGGTTCAGGGAAACCACTCAATCCCAGCGACCCTGCAGCAGCGTTTACAGCCCTGAAAATGGGCTCCAGCCCCAGCAGAAGCTTGCTTCCGGTTATTTGCTGGCAGTGGCGGTGACTAGCTTGTGTGGTGGTGCTTTGCTGATAAACCATCTCCTTTGAAGGAAAATACATTCACGTCACTGTCCTTGCCCCTCTACTCTCAAAGGGGTCACAGGACATCTTGTTCTGTCCGCATTCACCCATGCAAACGACCTTTAAGAGTCACCACCTTATTTTTCAGAGGAGGAAAATGAGGACAGAGAGAGTAGGGAGAGTGGCCCACAGGAAAGGAAATTACATTTATTTAGCACCAATGGTGTTCAAAGCTCTTGACGATCAGAATCTTGTTTAATCCAAACCAACAATGGCAAACGGACATGCTTGTCTCTTGCCTTAAAAAAAGAAAAAAAAAAAAAAGCTAGTACAAGTGGATCATCTGCCCCAAGGGCACATAGCCACTTATTTGTGGATCTGAAATCAATCTGATGACTTAATGCCTGTGTTCACTTCATATACTGCCTCCTTCGTGAGCAGACACTAAACACAACTATATCCATGTTCAGAAGTCTTTCTCGGCTATTTATGGGAGCACAGCAAGTGTCCTGGAAGGACAAAATTCCTGTAAGGAGTTCTGAGCATGGCATCCACTGATAACTCCTGTGAGATGTGTGCTCGTATTTTCACACTTTGTGCGTAGAGCCTCTTCCTGAGTCCCTACTGTGTTCTGAGGATGCGACTAGGTGGTAGGGATGCAAGGTCTGTGGAGTGCAGTCCTTCTGTCCTCAAGGAAGCAGCGGTCCGGGGACAGGGCACAAACACATACGGGAAGCATGTAGCAGGAACCTTCACTAGAAGATACCGCTGGCGGCAGAGGTCCTTATCAGATCCGACAAACTTACATTAGTTTCACCCTGCGACTCCCCTGGTACTGAGCCCACCGTGCTCTGCTTCTCTAGATTTAAAGAGTAAACAAGACCACCTTCACGGTGTTGACACTATTAAGCTGCTTTCTGTTAAGAGGGGGTGAAGGCATCGTTTATTAATTCCACAAACTTTTATTGAGCAACTACTATGTGCCTCTGTGATAGCCAGAGAGGGCAGGTTTAACAAAGGAGACAGGGGGGTCGTTTCACTCTGTATGTTAATCAGAGTCATCAAACTGCTCGGGTGCCCTCTGGGGCCCATACAGACCCACACCATGACCCCTGTGAAGGGCATACCCCCGCAGGCACTGGCCAGGTAGGAATGGCGAGATGCCACTGCCTCTTCCCATGGGAAGGCCACCTTCCAAGTGACCAGTGGTCTGTGGTGCCACCAGGATGGTTTAAAGGACACTTCTGAGAAGCTTGTGACGGTGAAGCAGTGCCATTGCTAAGTCCTTGTTGTTCAATCCAACGTATGGATTCTTTTTAAGGCATCTGTTCATCTCTGGCTTGGACTCTTAGGTCAGGAAGCATGAAAATATTAAAAACCTCAGGCTCCTGGCTCTCCTGCTCTCCCCTCTCTCTGGAGATAAACCACATGTGACATCCACATGCCTTAAGCACCAGTCAGATCAGGGCTCGGGAAGAGCTCTGACCCTTAAGGGAGTTTCGTCAGGCCCGACCCGGGCAGCCGTGGCATCCCGAGTCATCATGGGGGCCTGAGTGAGGACCCATGACCCTGGGTGACCTGCCAAGGCTGACCAGCCCCACAGAGAGGGAGCTTCACTCATTTCCACAGTAAAGAAGCTCCACGCCGCTGAGTTCTATGGTCTACTTCCCCCCTTCAGAGCCAAACTCTAAAAATCCTGCAGAGTCCACTCTGCTCTCCGCAAACTCTAAAAATGTGCAGAAATATCTCTTCCATGTGGGGAGCACTTCGAAGGCAGGCATCAAACTTTAAAAGGCCTTCTTTATTACCCTCTCCAAGAGGGGATGGGGATTAATTGTGCAAAGAGCCAGGCTTCCACCTAAATTAGTGCTTAACCTCTCTGCCTCAGTTTTCTCATCCATAAAATAGGAACATTGATATCCTTACCTTTTAGGGTTCTATGGGGATTAAATAAGTAAATGCATTTAAAGCACTTAAAACCTTGCCTAGCACAAGGTAAATATTATGTAAATATTAGCTATATTATTATTATTATCCTCCTGATATCCATGGTGACAAGATCAGCCAGGTCAGTTGCATCCACTCTGAGCAACTGGTCAACAATGGGCATTACTCAGGTGAGGGAAAGAGCCTCGATGAGAAGCAGGGAGTGAGAGCTCAAGTCCTGGTTCCCACCAGTTATCTCCCTGCCTGTTTGCAACTTACTCTGCCTCTGTGGTCCTCAGTTTTGCCCACCTGCAAAATGGGAGCTGGGACTTATTTGTCTCTAAAGCCCCATCCAGCTTGAAGCTCTTTGTGAATCTCTGGTCTTTGCAGCTTGACGGGCCAGAAAAACAGAGAACAACTTCCGAGTCCCCGAGTCCCCTACACAGGAGAGGGAGCCAGCTCTTCCTAGAGGGTAAACACTGTGACCCTTCACTCCTCCTACTCCTCATATGCCCGCCCCCCTCCTCCCGACCCAGACTCAGGACCCAGCACTTGGCAAAGGAGTGAGGCATATGCTGCAGTCTGGGCTTCATACCAAAACTTCCCCTTCTTATCTGTCTCATATTTCTCGAATTTCTAGGATAAATCCTACTTAGCCATGGTATATAATCCCTTTTATATGTTTCCTGGATTTAGTTTACTGGTGTTTTGTTGAGTATTTTTTACAACTATATTCATAAAAGATTTTGGTCTGCAGTTTCCTTTTTTTGTTTTGTCTGGTGTTGGTATCAGGGTAATGTGAGCCTCCCACACTGAGTTGTTTCTTCCCCTTCTGGTTTTTGGAAGAATTTATAAAGAACTGGGATTAATTCTTCTTAAAAGACCTGATAGTTTTCACCAGTGAAGCCATTCAATCCTGAGCTTTTCTTTGTGGATAGTTTTTTTGATTATTCACTCACTACTTATCACAGGTCTATTCAGCTTTTCTACTTCTTCTGGAGTCAGTTTCAATAGTAGGTGTCTTCTAGGAATTTATGTTACAAAGTTACCTAATCTATTACCCTGGTCTCTTTGGTCGTACATCAGTACTGTTTTATTATGGAAATAGATAAAAGGAGGAAAAGTGAAAGATTGAAAAAAGTAAAAAAACAAATAGAAAATGAGAGTAATTTGTAGAAGTGAAGGAAGAGGGAAGCAGAAGCCCAGGACCTGGTGAGAGGGAATAAATACAGGTGGAGTGAGCCCTGAAGGGGGGAATTGGTGTTTTGTGTTTCTCACGTGCTGTGAAATGAATGTAACTCCTCCAGGGGAGAGAGATGTGCGACTCTAGCAAAGTGACTTCCAGCATGGCCTGCAGGTCCTACGCTGTTTGCTTGGCTTTCTCCCGCTCTGAGTAATGTTAGGACCAGGAGAAATATATGAGCAGTTTCCAGGAACTGTCAAAATACAGGAAAATGAGCCAGCATATTTCAAGATTGACAGTAAACTAATTCCTTGAGGCAAATTGTAACATGCCTTTCTTTTGATTTGCTTCATCTGCCTCTAACAGACACCCCAACGAAGACCACCACAAACTGAGCCAACACATCAGGACCAGCAGTGCTTGGCCAGAAAGAACCCTGATCCCTGTAGGTTTTCTAGTATCCAATGCAGCAGTGGCCATCCCAGCACTTCCCTTCTGCTCTTTTTTAAACATGCATTATCACTAAGAGCAATCTGTCTACAAGCAATGCACCATCTTCCTTTTTATTTTCTTTCATTAATTGGATATAATTAGAGCTTAGGATGAATTAAAAAAAGGTTCTTGTGTCCCAATCCCCAATTAGATATGAAAACTGGCTTTAAATCTTTTAAATTGAATTTAAATCACAAGGTGAATTTCAGGCAGGTCTAAAAGTGGAACCAAGTGTATTTAATACAGAATTATACCATAGTCAAGTGGGTCTATGCTAGGGTTTATCACTCTTTGCAATCAGCAAAGTGAGGATAATATTGATACTATTATTGCAAGGATCATCTCATTTAATCCCCACAACAACCTGC